CATCAGAAGCTCATCCACCGAAGCTTCCAAGCTTTTGGACTTGCTGAGCCTGTGTTGGGATTTGGCAGGTCTGTTTTTCGAATCGCTGTGATCTATTCACGTTCTTTTGTCAATCGCTTTTCCAGTTGGGATGATTTCGAGATGGAAGCAAGACGGCAGGTGCACAAGCAGGTTGCTTTCTCAAGCCCCGCTTCCCACCGGAGCGGGCCTTGCAAGGGCAATGGAAGTAAAGCCAATCGAGACGAGCAAAGTTGGGCGAGATTGCAAGAAAAAGCATGGCAACATTGACACTGGCCAAACACACCAAAATTAGCCCTGCAACGCGTGACCGGCAGAGTAAATGCCACATAGCCACATATGCCGATGCAAGAACGACTCGCAGCCCACGCAGCCTAGCCCAGCTTCCCAAGGTGGGTCTCGCAAGGGCACAAAGAGGTCAGACAACCGGCAGTAGCCCATGAGCATCGAGGCAAGGTGCACACAAAAGATTTCCAACGGAGTGGGTCTCGCAAGGGCACAAAGGGCAGGTTAGACAATCGGCAGCGGGTGGTAAGCCTCCAGCCGGAAACCCCCTCTGAAAGGAACCAGGCTGCTACTGGAAACGGCCTGTGGCTGGAAACCGCAAAGAATCGGAAAGGGCCCCCTGTTTTTTGGCAGTGCCTCTACCAAGGAAAAAGCACTAAGAGGGAAACTGCCATAGGCAGGAAGAGTCCCCTGATAGGCAAAACGCTATGGCCGGAAACGCCCTCCCGAGGGAAACCGGCTTCCGCCAGACAAAGTCCTCCACAGGACAGCAAATCCAAACCGTTGAGAACACGATGCACAGACGCAATTCTGGCGTCCACGAAAATCACGAAAAAGCAACCAAGCACTTTGAGCAAGCTTGCGACACTTCACGGTCGCAAAACAAACTCACAGCACTCGGACAGTTCTCTCTTTTCTTGCACGTACAGCTAACTGCTGGTTCAGGTGTCTTGAGCCAATGACAGCAGTCGCAACACCCACTAAAAGCTCCCAAGCCTTGGAAAAAAGAAAAGGATTGAGACTTCAGCTCAGACTGCTTCCTACAGGCACCCTCCTTTGACAAAGGGGCTTAAGCCCCCCCTCTGTTTGCCTAAACTCCCAAAGGGGTAGGTACTTTCAGCAGTGGCATGGCTGTATGCTCACATGTATATATGTCCTTTGCTCGCTGGCTCAAGTGGTTTTACCGACTTGACACAAGCTCTCTGCAGCAGAACAAAACACTAGCTGTCCGTGTGCTGGGCGTTGCCTTAGATCCCACGGGACTTAACTGGTCATACACTCCCGCAGGAGTAATCCTAAAGGGGTGTATCGGCTCACCCTCAGAAAGTGAACGAAAGTACCGTGCGAGCTGAAGCTCCCTTAACAAGTAGCCGTTTCAAAGCCCTCTTTCAAGTCACCCTTCCGCCGTTAAGCCCTCGTTTGAAGCCCCCTTAAAGCCCCGCTGAAACCCCCTTTTGTCGCCTCCCTTAAAGCCCCCCTTTAAGCCCCCCGCTCGAGCCCCCATTTAAGGGGGAGAAGCCCAAAAAGACAAAACCTCAAAACCCATTTTGCGGCCATAGCCATAGCAATAAAAAACCTACTCAAAATATCGCTTCTCATCGCACCAGCTGGTATCTCAATCAACAAGCTGGCATCTTGATCAACTGTCGGACCAGCTTGTTTTTAACACTCCTTCAAGCAAAGCAGCAAGTCTAAATGGATCTTCTAAAAGCTCTGCAGGCACTTCCAAAGTTCCCACAGAAAAGAATCCATCCATGCAGTGTGTTTGCCACACGAGACGGAAAAGTATGGACACTTGCCCAAGGCAACATCCGGATCAACCACAAAAACATGCGCAGGATGACTCTCATGGAGTCTCTGCTGCTAGAGGGAAAGTACAGTAAGTTTACTTTGGTGGCAAGTTTAGCGCCTATTGTGTTTTCTCTGCGCAGGTGACACAGATGTCCCAGTCACATGCATCACACCTGTACGTGTGGTTGCCTGCAGCCAAGACACCGCACAAGTCGCACGTGACATTGAAATAGTCGTATTCACGAGCATTCTTGATGACATCGGCGGGTGGCGTTAGAATCATGTCGTGGCCTTGTTTGCAAAAAGGTCCATGCACCGAGGGTTGGAAGCTTGACGCTTCTTTCTTGATTCGGGCTGAGTCCCTTCTAGCTTTCTTGGAAGCAGGCTTGATGTAAACAATTTCCAAATCACTCCCGCTGCTTCCTGTGTCAGCCTCAAATTTGACTTTAAGGTTTTCTTTTTTCATGGGATGCTGTACATGCAATGGTTCCTTGCCCATCTGACCCTCTTCCCCATGTTCCTGTTCTCCTAGCACAGCTGGAAGGGCAGGCTCCTGTTCATCGGCTTCTCTTTGTTCTGGCACGACTGGTGGGGCAGGCTCGGGCAGATCTTCCTCATCATCACTGTCATCCGAAGGCAAAAAGGACTCAAAATCGCTCCGCATATTCTCAGGTACATCTTCTTCGACAAACGGGGTTGCGACCTTGGTGCTGCCACAAGATTTGTTCCTTACGACTGTACCCCAAAAGAGTCAGGCCTTAACACAGGACCTCCTAGATTTCAACGGCAATAAGCCCTTCCGAAGACATCAAAGTGATGCTGCTTGCACTCCTGTCTGCCTGCGGCCGCCTGGGATGAGCATCTTGCCAACTTTTAATCTCTTTCAGCAAGTTGTAGAATGGCTCTACGCGAAAAGCAGAACATCTCTGCCGCCACAGAAACTCTGCAAGGACTTCGCCATAGGCCCGCTTGCCAAACCGGGCGTCTTCACGTTGTCGCAAGTATTTCTTCAAGCGTCCAAACAAACCTTCCACCGCATCATTTGTCGTGACATTGATGTCCTGACCAAATATGCGTTCCATGCGGGAGAACTCACCAGCCTTGTGGTTGGCAGGTCGTGCACATACTGGCTTCCTCTGCGTCCCAAGAAATGGTACGACTTGTGTCGGTCCGTGAAGATGAGGGAACCCGGTACCACGTGTGTTTGAATCTCCCGTCTCAAAGTTGACATTTTCCTGTTCGGAATGGCAATCAAAACACATACGCCTGTTGCTTTCTCGTGGCCAAGTCCAACTCCAAGAAACCCATAACAATGGTCTTGTTGCCCATGGTGCGCCTTCCAACAAAACCTCCTGCATTCACCTTCTTCTTGGTGAAAAAGGTTTCATCGATGACCTAGCAGACTTGGATCTTGTCGCGATGGCCCATGTCTTCTCAGCAAGACCGGTTTCTTTGAGAACCTGCTTTTGGAGTGCATCCGAAGACCCGTGTGACGTCCGAAGTGGGCGCGGCATGTCAAAGGGCAAGTCACCATGGTCTCGCCACGATTTTTTGTAATTGCAACACTTGTGCTTTGGTGCGCAACCGCGCTGTGCAATGCAGATGTTGGAAAACTTCCAGTCATGACTGTGGCTGCAGCATCGTGGAAGAATCAACAGCTGCAACCAAATCAAAAACCAAAGAGCTTGGTTGTTTCCACTCCACAACTTTGCAAAGCCTTCCTCGGAATTCGACATGGCCAGCAAACTTTCCAAGCAAGATGAGTCACGTTGCAACTTACGCCATTCCTTTTAAACACACATACACACACAACACACACACGTCGGTCTCATCCAGCATGGTTCTAGTAAGAACTGCAAATCTTAAGGCTTGGTGTTTCGTCCGAAACGACCCAAGGTTTTGTTCCACGCACACAAACAAATGCACCTTTCGTCCAGCAAACATTTCTTGACAAGAATGAACTCAAAATCAACGTCTGCAACAGTTTGCTTTTGTGCACTTTAACCTGGTTTTTAAACCCACTGCTCGAACCTGAGTTCGAATGGTTTACATATGAATGCCTGTCAGAGGTTCTTTCCAAAGAGTGTTCGAAAAAAGAGTCCCCATACCTGGGTTAGAACTCAAACGGAAACGGAGTTCCAAACCTGGGTTAGAACCTGGATCTCAAGTCTGGGTTTGGAATCTGGGCAAAAACATGGGTTTAAACCTGGGATTTTTTTGAATCCGGGTTCCAAACAGAAGAATTTGCGTCTCTGCCTGTAACGCCAATCTTGTTGTTTAAGACATAGAAATTGTGAACCTCTCTCTTATGAAGGGGGTGTTGGACCCACAATCGATCGTCCACAAGGAAGCTGATTCAATTTCGAAAGGTGTTGAGTCTACAGCCTCGGGCTAAAAACGAAAGATCGACAGGGCTCAAGGGCGTAGGACGCACGATCTTCGACCCTTTAGGCTCAAAATTTTCCTCGTAATCGCAACTCGACGATTGTGGACTCTCTTGCTACCCTCACTCTCTCACTCCGCTCCGCTCCGTTCGTTCGTTCGCTTCGCTCGGATCCACAGTCGAGCTGCGATTCGCTCGTCCTAAAATTTTGGGCCTAAAGTGTGTCCTACGCCCCTGAGCCCGTCGATCTTTCGTTTTTTAGCACAAGACTGTCGGCTCAACTGTGAAAAGTTGCTCTTTTAGGTGTGCCCTTGAGAACCACATGCTTGGTTTGCGTCTGAGAAAGGGTTTCATTTTTTGCCTTGAACTGTTTTGTTTTGGAAGCTTGAACAGGCATTTGCATGGCGAAGTTTTGGCATGTTTGCAATTGCTTTGAGAAACATGATGAGCGTCTACTGCACTAGAGATGCTTTAGAGCATCCTTGAAGAAGTGCGTGTTGCTCTGACTGTACTGTTGCTGTTTTCCGCCGACCCTCGCTTCGCTCGTGCCGGTGGGAACAGGCCAAGGGACAGAGTGGCTGTGCACTGCTGTTTGAGTGAGTACAGAAGTCCTGAGAAGTGTTAGGACAGTTGCATGTCATTCTTCCTTTGTTCAGTAAAGTTGAGACGGAATTAGCTGCACGAGACTCCGCAAGAGACCTTGCTGAACACTCCGGTGTTTGGCTCAAGCGTGGAGTGAAAAGAGACTTGCTCTGCGTTTTTCACATGGTAGCGGAGCGCTGAGTGCGTTCCTAGTAAAGCCATGGCAGACGTCCCTGTGCCAGAGACCACTGCAGAAGAGGAGTTCGAGCTTTTTGGTCCAGGACCAGCTGCGGCAGCGCCTGAAGCGGCTGCTCAGCAGGAAGCGAATCCGTTTGCTCCTGTGCAAGGTCCGGCTCCTGCTCCTCCGCAAGCAGCACAGCCTTCTGTACCAGCGGCGGGTTCGCCATCTGGTGCTACTGTGCCTCCGAAGGCTGCTGCTCCGAGTAGCAGCTCTGGTCCTGCAGGTTTTACGCCTGAGCAGATGCCTGGATTCATGATGGAATTGCTTCGTCAGCAGAGAGAGATGATGGCAATGAACCAGCAGCTCGTTGCGACGATGCTCCGGAGAATGGATCTGGAGGAAGAGAGAAGGAACAAAGCGGAAGAGAAAGTTCACGAGGCAGCTGAAGCGGCCAAGCAGGCAGCAGAGGCAGCTAAGACTCGGGACCCCTTCCAGCCGAGCACTGCTCCCGCGAGCAGTTCTGCTGCGAGTTCGGCAGTTTCTCCGGCAGTTCCGTCTCCCTCTGGGTACTCTGGTGCTGGAGGCCGTGCAGAGAAGTATCTGCCGAACCTTCCGGTGATAGACCATCAAGGCATGGGGAAAGGGCGCATGAAGGAGGTAGAGACTTGGCACTCCTTTATGGAGACGCTGAGTTCCTGGCTTGCCCTGCAGGAGGAAGCATTTGTTCGGGAACTGCAGCTTTGTATCCCCGTGAAAAAGGAGATGGTGCAAGCTGACTTGAATCCCGAGACTGCAGCGCGTAGCTCCAAGCTGTTCTACTACTTGACGCAATCCCTCGCCAAGTGGGAGCGAGGAAGCGAGCTCTTGAGGTCCTGCTCGAAGAGGCAGGGACAGAGCGCCTGCGGCTACGAGGTGATTAGAACGATTACCTCTCAGTACTCCATCGTGTCACGGATGGAAGCTGTCTTCGTGAGAGAACAGGCTTTGAAGTTGTACCAGCACGTTGGGCATCTGAAGAGGCCCACCGACTTGATTCGACATCTTGAGGATTCGTTTTCGAAGTCTGAAGCGAAGCTGAGCAACTTTCCGGAGCTTCAGCTGTCTGAGGCTGACCGCTGCTCTGTCCTGTTACAGAGCTTGGGTGCAGAAGTGCGTCAGTACGTGGTACTGCACGGGTCCAGCTCGAACTGGGAAGCTCTTCGAAGGACGCTGACTTACTACGAGGAGCAGCTGCGACTGTGTGAGGCCCCTGGGTCTTCGGGCCGAGCCTTGCAGGAGAAGCTTTGCGACTACTGCGGGAAAAAGGGACACACAGCCGACAAGTGTTGGCAGCGCCAAAAGGAAGAACGCGGTGGTGCTCCGAAGGGCAAAGGGAAAGGAGACAAAGGAAAGCCGAAAGGCAAAGGCGACCAGACCCCCAAGGGATCTGGCACGCCCCGTGGTTCCGAGAAGGGCAAGGGCGACAGAGGAAAAGGCGACAAAGGAAAGGACAAAGGCAAGAAGCAGAAGAAAAAGAAGAAGGGACAGCCTGGAAAGGGACGCTCCTTGCTTGACAGAGCCGGAGTCCGAGGCCGAGTCGGGAGGAAGCGCCACAGTGATGGCGATGAGGTTTTCCTGTCCTGGGCGTGGTTCTTCGGAGCCCTCTTCTTCGGAACGCCGTGTTCTGAGCCAGCCTGAGAGACCTGAGCCGTCCGCCCTTGTAGTTCCGAAGCCGGGTTCAGGACCCGAAGGGTCGCCTAGGTCTGAGAGTCGAGGTTCTGAGTCTATGGGCTCCTTAGGATCCCGTGTGTTGAAGCACGGCGACGTAGCTCATGTCTGCAAGGCCCTCCCTGTAGATCCTAGCGGCCACTTAAATCCAGCCTCTTCCTGAAATCTGGATTTCCCCGTAAAGCGGCCGTAAAGGGGTTTATAAATTGTTTTTTTTTGATGGGTTGAAAGCGGTCGGATTTTAGGAATAGCCCTCGTGAACAGCCAACAACTTCCTCAGGGGATCTTCCCTTAAACCCATAAGATATACCGCCCGAACCGTGTCCGAACCCCCATTATCCCATCCAAGATCGCCTCTACTTCAGGCCACAAACAGCCCTGCGACGACTCGCCGACGATCCGGATCAAGGCATTACAAGGCACTTAGGGGTTTGGGTTACTCGGTTCATAGAGAGGTCATATCACACTAGTTAGGTTTCTGGAACTTCGGTTGATAGAAAGACAGCTGGCATCGCAGCAGTTTGGATTCGCGTCGAGAAGCAAACAAGCAGCTTCTGCAATCAGCAGCAACATTTGCCATGGGCTGCTGCCCTCTCATTCGTCATGGATGGCTCCGAGGTACAGGTGTGCCCAGCCCCGCAAACTGTTGATTTCTCGTTTCGCTTCACATTACTTTGTGCAGCATGTGCGAGTGCAACACGATCTGATGAAAAGCACTGTTGTCACAATGGGTCTGTGATCTGCTGCATTTGAGATCATTTGTGGGCCCGAGACAGTCACACGTGGTGGGCCATGGATCGCGAGGTTCAGGAGGTGGAACTGGCGGGCTTGGCTGCAGCATGGCATCAGAATCCTGAGGTGAAAGAGAGACTCATGGAGGAAGGAGCAAAAGGGTTGGTTCTGCCTCCGGAAGGCGAAAAAAGCCCGGTTTGCATCCAAGCTACGGCTGTCGCCAACGATGTGTTTCTGAAACCTATCATGGTGCAGATGCTAGCTGCACGGAGCTTGAAAATCCCGAGTATTGAGGTTTTGGTTTCGGAACTTTCTGCTTTGTGGCATAAGTACTACGAGGCCAAGGAAAAGCGCCGGGCTGCCGCAGCAGGGAGACCTCCCAAGTTGCCTGAAAGCTTTCGCTTGCCAGATGCAGTCATGGCTACTTGTCATTCGGATGCGAAGCACATTAAAAGCCTGCTGTCAATGTGCAAGAAGCAGTGTGTCAGTGACCGAGCATCCCGGGAATCTCAGTAGCAGTTAAGACTTCATGCATGAATTAGGCCACTGTCATTTTGGTAGGTGGTTGCCAAAGCTTCCAACCATCCAAGGATATCACGTATCGCCATATCGTGGCCGCCTTCGGAGCGAAGGCAGGAATTGAATTTATTGTAGGGGCTCATGATGCTTGTTGCCACATCATTGTTGTGTCCGGGATTGTCTTTGCTTTTCTGCGAGGCAGCTTATCCAGAGCTGGATGTGCCTGCCGCCGACGGGCACGAGGGCGGGGATCATGGTGATGATGATGATGAGGAAGAAAGAAAGGAAGAGGGTGGGGAAGTTGTGGAAAAAGTTTTGGTGGCCACGGCTGCGAAAACGAAGCCAGCTCCCCGTGCCGCAGCGGTTCCTGTGGATGACGATGATGACTGTGTTGTGACGGGTGGTATTGAAGCAGCCCGAGATATGAAACGTCGTATGTTGGAGCAGCAGATTGCCAGCATCCGAGCACGGTGGCTCATCTCTATTTGGGGGTCGAGTCATATCTGTGCAAGCTTTGGGAGTCGTTTGTCGAAGGGTGTGTTCGCATAGTTTCGATTCTCCTATCCGAGGATTGCCGAGAAAAAGCAGGCAGCTGAAGAGGCGGCACAGGTGTCGGCTCCGGCTGCTGCGGGTTTCTTGATCAGACTATTCGGGGTTCAGTTCTTTTCTTCGATTCGGACATTCTTACGGTTGTAGTGTTGGGCGGTTACATACACTGTAAATAGTGATGAATTGAAAAGATAAATACGCCAACAATTTTATAGCCCATAGAGTCAATCCCACCACATAATTACACGAACCCACCTTTACATACGCATCTACATGTAAACATACACATGCACATGTACGTATACATTACACAGTATGCATATGTTGCAAGCACCCATACATATATATATATATATGCATAAACACATGAGGTGCATGCCTGCATACAGACACATAAACATATTGCCGGTATTATCCCAAAGGCCCAAAGGTCATTCAGATACATTTTATGAAATTACAGCATGAAGTACTCTTGCAAATGATGTGTGTATGCACTCGCATTTGGCTGAAAAAGACATCCCCGGGGTTTTATATGCACATATGGTTAAATAAATATATACTATATACATATATATATATATATATACACATATACACATATTTCCAAAATACAGTCACTACGTAGTTATGTAATTTGCTCAATTACTGGCATAGATGCATTGTCTATATATATATATATACATACACACACTCACATCATCTGTGCATGTTGCATATATGTATATATCTAGGTATGCAACTCAACAAAAGCTGCAATATTGTTCACCGATGGACACGTACACACCAAACAAGAAGCATAACAAATAAGCTATCAAATCACGAGTTTGCCATTGCACAGGCATAGGAGTGATAAGGATCTGCAATCGTGTAGAGGCTTTCATATAGGCAATTACACCCCTCTCCCGCCCCGTCTCCTCACACAACAGGAAAAGGGCCCGCACACGCATACATGCAGGCCAAAAGGATACTCACGCATATATCTTTCTATGTGTCTATTTACCTATCTACCCATCTATCTATCTGCACAAGTATGTGCCATTTTATGTGCTTATATATGTCTACATTATTTCAACATAGTACATATTTGTAAATACGAAAACAACTGTAATCATAGACATACATGACACACCTAGGGCTACACACCAGATGGACACACACACATGCCTGCATACAAACATATCATATATATATATATATATGTATTTATATACTTAAAATTGTTTTATATATGTGCATATATCCAACATAGAAACTTATAAGCCCACCAAACCAATCCCCTCAGGATCCGCGATGGATGCCATGGACACCCAGCTGGTGCAAGTTGAGCAGGAGATGGCTCCTGCGACTCGTCTTGCACGATCAGGGTGGCTTTAGGGATTGGGCTCAGCATACAGAACTTCTTGCAGCTTAGGTTGTGGATCGTCTAGATCAGCTGGGCTTGCAGGCAAGAAAGAAGGCGAAGGCACGAGCCAAAGGCAAGGCCAAGCGAGGGGATTCGGAGCAGGAGGATGCAGACGGGGCACAGGGTTCAAAGGAGCCACAGGGTTCGCAGGAGCCAGAGGAAGGTTCGAAGGAGCCACAGGAGCCACAGGAGAAGGAGGAGGAGCATCCCCAGCCATCGAAAAGAAAGCTGAAACGTGCCAAAACCAAAGCTTCCAAGGAGTGGTCTGCTAAGGAGTGGGAGGATGATTGGGAGGAGGATTGGAGTGAGTGGCCCAAGGCGATGAAGAAGAAAGGACCGGTCTGCAAAAGGCCGGCTGCTAAGATCTCGAAAGGGGAAAAGGAGCCGGACGGAGAAGGAGAGGAGGAGGAAAACTCACCCCGCCCAAAAGCCAAGGCCAAGGCCAAAGCAAAGGCAAAGAACCCCAATCCGAAAGCCAAAGCGAAGAGAGAGAAGCCGCCAGGGACACGTACCGAGGACCGTTCGCGATGTGGAAGCCAGAGCACATATTGCCACACATTTCTAAGGGCTGTGATGTGTAAGTACCGTAGGACGAGCTCGAGATCAAAGCTTTCATCCACGAGTTCAATCGAGCTGGGGCCAAGCACAAGATCATGGCCTACTGGTCCCGAGCTGGCTTTGGGCTCTTGGAGGCAACCCCGGACAGTCCCCAGGTGTCTAGGCTGAGGTTGATTCAAACCTTCATTGTGGAATGGTTCGGAGTGCATTCTAATAAGTTGTTGTGATAATTGCCGCTAAGGTTGCCTACTGTGGATCCACGAAGGTTGACGTGATGGCCAACTTCTTGCCCATCAAGCAGCTTGTATCTCTGCTGACAAAGAACCCTGCATACAATCACGAACCGATCAGAACTGAACAACATTACCAAATATCTGAGGCCCTTGATCTTCATGTTGGCTTCGATCCGAACGATTCATTCAAGAAGTTTGAGGCTTCAAAAAGCTGTTTGTATGCAGCTCCCAGCGAGGGGGCCTGAGCGAGTTTTTCTACTGGGAACTTAGGGGGAGGATAGGGGGAGGTTACACACCAAGAATAGTGTATGCATACTTCATGGAGTCCAGAACCTTGCAATCTTTATGTTACATGTTGTGGACCTCTCATGCCTCCTACCTAATTGGTCGGAGCGAAGGCCAAGATAGTGTGCTTCGCATGAGCTTCGGGAGTAGTCCGTGCCTGTTCAACATTGGACAAAAAGACGTTTGCTTGCCCGTGGTCTCCTGGCAATCAGCTGCATGTTGTTGAAGTCGCAGTAGCATCCTCGGCAGAGTTGAACGACAAACCCTAATCCTTTCGTGCGAATCGTTCCCCCCGCAGGCCTACAGTGGTGGTTCGTCGTATTCTTCAATCAAGATCTGCTGGCTACACTCGGAGCATCGTCAAGGAGACCAAGGGCGAATCCGGCTATCTTTGTTGGGTTAGTTTAATGGTGCTGCCTGGAAAGTTCTTTTGTGAGCACCGCGAGAGAATTGCCGATGCTTCTTGTTGTTTCAACACTTCTTCAGTGGTGCTGCTAGTGCCAAGTCAAGCAATAGCATAGTTATTCACTAATTATGTCCAGCAACTCAGAATAGCATCGGTGGCATGGCACATTCTTAGCATTGGTGTATGGCCTTGTTCGTGCGAGCCCTCCGAGTGATGGATGTGCGAAGGCCCGGCTTTGGGAAGGTAGGGGTTGCTCAGATTGCCCGAGATTGGGTTCTGGAGTCTGCTGCTGGCTTTCTCGTCTACATTATGCTGCTGGGTTTAAACTTCAGTAAACAAGATGTATCTCTCGGCCTCTGGTCCTTTCTAAACCCTACGAACCCTATGCCCCTAAACCTTTGCCGAAACGTTCCTTCAAGCCTGCGAATTTGCTCTGCAATGCATACCCGGCCTAATTACAAGTATCTTTCTGCCCTGCTAACCTATAACCGCAACCTTTAGCCCTGATCAAAAAACCGAAGCCTCCCAAAATCATCGTACACTCTGTCGGCATTTTAATTTAAAACTCCCCGTCCTATCTTGAGCCCAAGTACACTTTGCAATCCAACCGCAGATTCAAGCCCCGGCCTAGAACCAATTAATAGCTCGAAACCCCAACAACGACAATCCGCACAGGTTCGCGAAGCCCATCCCGGACCCAGGTCTCTACGCAAACGGGTTTTCAAGTTACAATAATGGGTGGATTGCGGTTTTATTCGGCCAGGATAGACCGCATCTTTTCGGAGGGTTGGGGCTGCTCAGGGTTTTGTGTTGCAGGTGTTCGGGCCTTTGGGATTACGAAGGACGGTTCTGTGCTGTTTGGCTGCCTGTCCTGTCTAGTTCCATTGCAACAAACAATCACTAAGTAACTAAGTCCTTAAGCACAAGCAGAAATAGTCGTATATATGTATATACATGTATGTATGTGTTAGAAACCCTAGAGCCGCATATTGCTTACAGAAGGCTTAGGAATTGCCCGGGCCAAGAGTGAGGTAGTTCCATGTGGGTGTGTTGGGGTTTCGATATGGGTAAACTTTATAAAGGGTCTGGTATAGCTTCTGCATGCAAAGCTTAAAGACCCTACCACTAAACCTATATAACCCTAAACCCCCAAGCCCCTAACCCCTAAAGGGTCATGTTGTTTCAGAGCAGCACACATACTTGCGACTTGAACAGTCTCCATGCTTTCTTGTCTGGTTTACATCGTTCGTAATAAGAACGATTAAGAAAGATCAAAGAAGAGATTCGCTTCGGTACTCTAGCTCTCTAGATCCTGATACTGCTCCATAAGTTTCGAAGGCACCGACTTTCACGCCTGGTGGTTTGCTTGCTGGCTGTGGGGTGATAGGATAGCTAGTCGGGAAAGATTTAAATAAAGCCCTGCCCCAACCATTTTAACAAAGCCCTTTCGGGAAAGTTTATTAGTGTCCCCACGATAGAACCCGAGCCCCGACTCAGTAGGACTTCTAAGATTAAATATGGTTTTACAGAGTCTACAGAGGTACAAAGGGTTCATTGCTCGCAAGAATATTCCTCACCCTCCTATTATGACAGCACAATCGAACTTGTAGTTTTGTAGCAGTTTCAACAACCCAGCCCCGCACGAATTCCAAAGAAACCTTTTCTCCAACCACGGAGACCTTATCGATCCCGAAGCACCCCGATATTTAAATGTACATCATATCTGTATAAATATATATATATATATATATACATATGTATATATATATATATATATATATATATACACGTGTATGTATGTAGACATATGTCTGTTCTTACATATATATATATATGTATATATACGAGCCTATATAATCTCCCAAAGGTTCTCCCCTTACCGAACGGGCTCGCTGCAGGCAGCCGAGATTCGTCAGACCTCGCTGAGAGGTTGGTAGTGAGGTTAGTGATGTGTGGGCATAAGTATTCCAATTTGGTTGGTCCAGAGGTTGTTTGGGTCGGGTGGGTATTTAGCTCGGACTACATAGGGCTTCGTTTGTTCAGGATTAACTATAGGTTTGTATTCCGGGCCCGAAGGCTTGGCTTGAGTCGGACTCCATAGTGCTTCGCATAGCTAGAATTCGTGTCTCGGTATTGGATGATTCTACGGCGAGAATGCAAAGTGCCGGTGGCTCTTGAGTTCCAACAAGTTGGCTTTTATGGGCTTTTCAGACGGGTTTAGCATTTCGGCGGATTTCGGCGGATTGGAGAGTGTGGGTTGTGATGTTTTTTTCGGGTGTACTTTCGCTTTAACTAGATCTGCGATCTTTTCCAGGCAGGTTCTGTTACACCTAGGAAATTATTTTTTTTCGGGGACCACCCAAAGCCGTAACCGTATCCCAACAAAATGTCGACATTATGTTGGGATTTATCGGGATAGGGAGGTCAGCGGCCAAAACCGTAATGAGCCGTAAAAAAACCGTAGGGCGTAACGAAAGCGTAAAATCCCAACAAAAGCCCAACAAGAGGCCGTAAAAAGCCGTAGGGCTATCCCAACAAAAACCCAACAAGAAGCCGTAAGAGGTCACATTTTACAAAGAGGCCACTTTTCCAAACTGCATCCCGCATTACCAAACCATTTTATAGGTGTGCAGGCTGCAGCTCATGTGCTCCGGTGATGTCTGAGATCAAGCAGAAGCCTGTGTGTTGTGGGTGCTGTAGCTGTAGGATGGTGAGGGCTAGCAAGAAAGCCTCTCCGCCCATGGCTGGTGCAGTGGCTTGCAAGAAGGAGGTTACGGATGAGGGTTTGGAAAACCAGCTGGAGGACATACCAGCAGCTGCCGCATATAGGTGTTCTTGTTGAGCCCCCCCAAATCTCGAACATATGTGCACATGTATATACACACAAACATACCTTTCTGTAGGATCTGCAGAACATGCTCAACGAGCTGGGCAGCCCGGCTGGTAAAGCCACGCCGAAGAAGAGGCGATCTGCAACCTCCGAGAGGGTTCCGTGGCTTCGGGTAGCCCTAAACCCCCAAAGCCCTATAAAGCCGAGCCTCTGAAGCCCCAAACCACTAAAGCCAGCAACCCGCACTGCTCCAAACTCAAAACAAAAATTAAAACCCAAGACCCACAAAACCTTGTTATAAAGCCCATTCCTATATGTTCTCAGGATCACTATAGTACCATAATCCCATACCCCTAAACCTCGAAATACTTCGAGTTCTGCAACGGTTCCTGGGGCTATGTTTGGGTTGCCCAGGTGGGGCTTGGCGGTCATGCACAAGCCGATGATCGGTTCGTTCCGCAAAGACTCGAATCGAGGTTCAATGCAGTGGAGAATGGTGATGCAGAGTCTGGGTCTTCGCCTACCACGCTAGCCGAAACCCTCTTTCCGGCGACACAGCCGGACACGGCCCCAGTCGAACCCCGAAGTGCCTCCCGAGGGAAAAAAGCCCGGTCGCCCAAAGCACCTTCCAAGAGCAAGGACTGCATGTTGTTGAAACTAAATGGATGACAGCATGTATGAATCAATTGTTCTAAACCATAGTTAAACGCATACACATAACTATATATATGTCTATATCTGTCTCTCTTTCTCTTTCTCCTTTCCCTCTCTCTGGCTCTCTCCCCCTCTCTCTCTCTTTCTTCTCTCAGGGCATATCCTCTAATTGTGTTCATGAGGCATTTGTAGATAGATAGCTAGCATATATATATGTATCTATATATATATATATATGCCTTTATGTATGTGTGTGTGTGTGTGTATGTAGGTAGGTAGGTATCCAGCTCTCCTTTCTCTCTATCTCTTTTTCGGTCACCTAAATTTTAGGTGACCAGTCAACTATAGGATGGGCCGAAGAAGACCCCTCCACGCACTGGCTCCGGTGGGGAGTCTGATGATGATGATCTCCTGCAGCAGGAGAAAGACAACCTTCTACACCAGCTCAGGAAGATCGAGGATCAGCTCCAGAGGAAGCGAGTGAAGGATGAAGCGGCTGAGGGCCCTCCCGCAAAGTCGATCAGACGAAGCAAGTCCTCAAGCCCAAAGCCGAATCCGCCCCAGACATCACCGCCTTCGTCGACAATCCCGACCCTTAATCGTGCACTTGCAAGCTCTACCCTCAGCCTTGGCAGCTCCGGGGCAACCCCTTCGCCGTCAACTGCCCGACCGAAGCCATCGACTCGCCGAGACAGACCCGTGGCAGCCCCGTTGCGAGTTGGTGGAAAGGCCGTGCCATCTCGATCTCTTTCGTGCACTTCGTTGCCTTCCTGTGTCGGGGGCAAATCGGCCTCCGAAGCGCCAAACTACGAGGACTGGAACGACGAGGAGCCGGAGGACTACGAGGAGGACGGTGACGAGGATGGCGAGGCGAACAGTGGCAAGTACGGTATGGTCTACGACCCCAGGAACGGCAAGGCCGCTCTGTGTGTGTGTGCCCCACAATCAGTATTGGATTCATCTGTGCTTGCCTCTTCGCTTCTGAGTGTATAATAGTCTAAAACTGTGTACAGGGCTTGATAACTCTCTCTCGCTCTCTGTGTCGCCGTGCATGCTTCGAGTTCTCTGCTGTCGCTCTCGCTCTCTGTTTTGTTTTTGTTTTTTCTCTCTCTCTCTCTCTCTATCTCTATATGTCTCTCTCGCTCTCACTCTCTACATATACATATGTACATACATAAATATACACATGGTAATGTTTATGTGCAGGTGTGTGTGTGATCATAATAGGGTATGTGTGTGTGCATGCATGTACATGCATCTCAAAGATTTTCGGTGCTTGGGTATGTCTGCATGTAAACACCGACATACTTCTGTATGGTTTGTCGTGATTCTTTTTTTTCATGTAGAGTAGTTGTGGTGCAACCACCACGGGCCAGGTTCTTTCCGAAGCAGCCATCGACCAACGTGTTCGCAGAGCCTGTCAAAATGGCAAAAAAAAGAAGGCGACCGGGGGCCCAAAGGCAGTGGAGATGTACAAGGACCTCGGCAGTCGGGAGGAGTTGACGAAGATGCTCATCTCGGCTGGGTTTTGCACAGCCCCTCACCTGATATCGTAGCAAGTGACCAACCTTTCGGATCACTTTTCTGTGTCTCCATGAAATCCAGTCAAGTTAAGGCTGCTTTCAAGCGGAATATCACCAAGTTCTCGGAGAAGACACACAAGAAGAAGACTGACACAGTTGCTGGTTGGTACACCGAGTCAGCGATGTCTGTGCAGCTGAAACTCAGCGAGCCCTGCCCTTAGTGAAACCCTGACAACAAACGAAGCTTTTCCATCCCCAAGCAGTGTCACCTCTCTCAGGGAAGAGATCAAGGAGATCGTCGATTACACCTCAACCCGACCCGCTTTGAGGAGGCGGGGTGCACGCACACAACATGAGGATTTATCGGGGTCTGTATCTCTTGCTTGTGCTGAGGAAGTACAAGTACAATGCCAAGAAGCTTCAGCATTGGGTTGACAAAGAGACCATTGGTGTGGACTCAAGCGAGACGATCAAGGGCACACGAAAGGAAGTGAGCACGAATGACAAAGAGCTTCCCAGCGAAGCTGATGGTGAGGTTTCGGACTTCGAAAAGGACGAGAAATCCGACGACGAGCACCGGCCGAGCCAGAAGAAAAGCACGCAGGAGGATGTGCAGGGTGGCATTCAATACAATCTTCTCTCTCTCTCTGTCTCTCGCTCTCTCTCTCTCTCTCTCTCTCTCTCTCTCTCTCTCTCTCTCTCTCTCTCTCTCTCTCTCTCTCTCTCTCTCTCTCTCTCTCTCTCTCCCCTCTCTCTCTCTCTCTCTCTCTCTCTCTCTCTCTCTCTCTCTCTCTCTCTCTGTCTCTCTCTCTCTCTCTCTCTCTCTCTCTCTCTCTCTCTCTCTCTCTCTCTCTCCTCTATACATACATATCTATATATTACTTATAGTATGTACAGAGGGCCTTTAGGTTTTGCAACCCTATGCTCCATACCCCGCAGGACCTCTGCGAACGGGCCGAGAAAACGATGAGTGACCTGTTGCCCCCCATCGCCAAGATGCACGAGCTTTCCGAGAAGTTCACGAAGCCCTACAACACGGATCCGAAGCCCACCCATGCAAGGTCTCTTGTAAAACATCGTCAGGTGGTAGCCGCACGACTGTCAAGTTTTGGGGTGCCGGTGCCTATCGATTGACGATATCTGCTCAGGCATGCAAGCGAGCTTGACCGACTGGCTGGCAACATGGAGGCCGTCTACGATGCATTGGCCGAGGTTCTGGCGAACCTGAGTGCCCATGGCGAATCTGATGATCTGTCGTGCCGTGCTTGCAATACGAAGCGGTTCAATTGGGCTTGTGATGCGATGTTGCTTCTTTCCACACTCAGGTCCAAGATGCAAGATCACATCAAGAAGGCTACGGTTCTGCACCCCGGCTGTTATCTTTATCTTATTGCTTGGCTTCTCTCTGTCTCTTTCACTCTCTCTGTCTCACTCCATCTCCCTTTCCTCTTCTTGTTTTCTGCCTAACTCTCCACCGCTTGCTCTGTCTTTATAGTCGGTTTGCTTATGTGCAAGTCAAGGATGGCCAAAGCAACTTCGAAAGAAGCTTCTTGCCAGTGTGGATCTTACATTCCCAGAGTAACCCTTCGAGCTGCAAGTATCAGAAATATCCGCACTCCCGTGATGAGGCCCCTCATCCGTGATATCGAGAAGTTGAAGAAGGCTTCTACGAAACCCAAGGGTCCAGCTACTCCAGGCCCTAAGCATGCGTCCAAATGTGCTGCCAAAGGCAAGCCGAAGAAGAAGTGAAGCAGCATTTTGCTGCTGATGTTCCAGATCAAACGATGTTCTAGTGTTTGTGCCACCTAGCAGATGATGTTGTCATGCGAGATCCTGTGCAGCAAGTCATCAGCACAGCTCTCCGATGTACGGAACTTACAGTATGTCTGTGTGTGGGTTGATATGCTAGCTGTCTGCTGCACGGGTGCATGCAAGCTCGTCGATCGGGCCTACGGGGAGGCCCTGTGGCTACCGTGAAAGAAAAAGACGCCCTCGAATGCCTTTATCTTGCAAACCTCCAACTATGCCACGCAAAAAAAACCCAAAGCCAGGTCGAGAACTGCAGCGCCTGAATGTGGCGAGGTCGCTGTCGCGAGGGGCTCCACGGCCAGTCGTGGGATCGCTGGGAGGATGGCTTGGTCGAGGATGGGTTTCTAATATAAGAGAAGGTTATACAGCCTGTATCGGGGTACAACAACCTCGGATATTGTCTCATAGTTGTATACGGCTCTTCTGGAGTTGGCTCAGCTTTCTAAGGTTCTGCCTAGTAACCAAGGGAGTTGGGATCGTAGAAGTTAGGACCGAGGTTGGGCATTGGGGTTGTTGAGATTTGGTTTGGGGCTTTCAAGGTATTATTTTCGGTGCTATTGAATTTAAGGAGAATTGACTTTATATGTTTTCTAGTAGTTATCCTTATGGTCCCCGGGGTGGCACATATAACCCTCTCCAGAATTCAGTCAGTCACCCCTCCCCAGACCCCCAAACCCTTTAAGTGTGACCCCCAAACCCTTTAAGTATACCAACTTCCTCCGATGTATCATTTTAAGGAAATCAAATAATAGCTACCCAAGGCAACAGGGGAGAGCATCTGGGCCGATGCGAAATCACGCTTGGAAGAGCCGGACCCGCCTTCTGCGAAATCGATTTATGCTAGGCTTGCCAAAGGAAGCAAGCATCGAGCTGAGAAGAATGCCTTTCGGGAGCCTCTTGGTACAACTAGTTCGATTCTACTGGTTTGGTTGTTCTCGGTTGAAAATAAAATAAAGTATGACTTTGCATCTCCGAGCATCATAAATGACAGGTTGCAGCAAAGCGGACATACTTTGCAAGTAGACATCGACTACATTCCGGTTGAAACAAGCACTGGCATCAGACAGATTCCGTGGTTGGATCCATACAAAATGGTATCTTGTTTGGCCCGGGATGCTAAACTGGAGTTTCTACATGGAAAGAATAATTTGTTGGAGTGGTGGCGACGGTTCGCCAAAGTGGAGCCTGGGCATCGAGCTTTCAAGGCTGCCGCCCGTGGAGACATCTCTTTGGAGAGAACGATTCCGTTCTTTTCTCATGGAGATGAAGGCAGGGGCAAGAAAAAAAAGGGCATCTTGATATGGTCACTTCGTGGATGTGTGGGCTTCGGGACACGACAGTTTCAGGAAATGCACTCCGAGGCCGAGCAGAAAAACCGAATGGGCCTTAATATGTCTGCTAGCATGACCTCCAGGTTTCTTCATGTTGCAGTTCCAAAGGCAGTGTACGGAAAAAATGCAGAAACTGTTTGGGATGCAATTGGCCGCAACATTGCTGCATCGTACGAGCGACTTGAAACACAGGGTTTTTTGGATGCTGATGGGAAGCATTATCATGCTGTTTGTGTTGGCCTTACTGGAGACAACCCGTTTTTGGCCAAGGTCGCCCACTTAGAGCGATCGTTCGCCAGGGTAGCCAAATCGACTGGGGAGGATGTTTCCCATGGCATCTGTTGGAGATGCCTAGCAGGAACCCCAAACGTGCCTTTTGAAAATCTGAACCTACATCCGGAGTGGAGCTACACGATCGACGAAACTCTGCCTTGGTCGCAGCTGCCACCTTTTTTGCGAGGGCTAGGCTTTGACGAAGACGACTTGAAAGCGCCACGATTTCTTGAGTTCGATATCTGGCACAATTTTCACGGAGGAACAGGGAAACATATTGCAGCCTCGACAGTGGCCGAAATACTACCCAATCTGGAAGTGGGATCTATTGATTTCAAATTTAGCATTCTTCAGCAAGCCTATGAAACCTGGCGAAAGAAGTCAAAACTGACATTGCATATTGGCCACTTTGACCGGGAACTGTTCGGGATGGAGCAGGGCTACCAAGTTCTTCCAGTTGGATGCTGGAGCAAGTTCTCGGACACTCGTGTCCTGCTTTGTTTTCTGGAAGACTTCTTGCGAGATCGGGCCCTCTACGTTCCAACAGAGATTACTGAGGAGGCTCTTATTTGTATCGCTGCTGGCAATCGAGCTTTTAGGCTGTCTTACCAAGGCGGCTATTGGCTATCTTCTGATGAAGCGAGATCCATTGGTCTGTCCGGTCTCCGGTGCTTACAATCGTATGCTAAGCTGGCTTTTGTAACACTCCAACAGTCCAGATCACGATACCCGATGATGCCCAAGAGCCACTATCTACATCACTGTTGGAGAGAGATTATCTTGGCGGCAAAGAGGCATGCTTGGGTGAGAAGCCCACTGGCCACATCAGTGCAGATGGATGAAGATTTTGTAGGACAAATGTCCCGGATGAGCAGAAGAGTAGGAAATCAGCAGTTAATGCTGAGGACTCTTCAGAGATACTTGGTGGCCGTGAACAGGGCTCTCAGCTGAAAAACATGGCGGACTCGCGATGTTTCTCCGGATCTTTCAAGACTTAAGAGGGTTTTGCTTCGGGTTTTTTCAAGCAGCCTGTCCCACCAGGAAATTAGTGTTTTTCGGAGGTTGTAAAGCGGTCGGTTTTTTAGCGAGGTCGGATTTTTATATCCTCTTCGAGCGTCTGGTTTTTTCCAGCCGGAGGTATCTCCAGGTCGAGACTACTCCTGGGGACTTGTGGCTCGTTGATAGTGGAGCCACCTGCCACATTGTTTCTGACAAACATCTCTCAGGATTTCGTGTTGTCAAGAAGTACGACCGAACGGCCAATCTGTTCAACGCCTCGGGTGGTGCGATCGTCGTTTCGGGGGTTGTCGACCTTGAGGTTCATTTTGGAGCTGTTTTCCTGAGGTTGGAAGAGGTCTTGGTGGCGGATGTTGGGTTCAACGTTGTTTCGCCTTGGACCGGGTCGGAACGGGGCTGGAAAACCTATCTAGCCAAATCGGGATCACGATTGTACAAAGGAAACGGAAAGAAGAGCATCAAGCTGATGGGCGCTTCGCGCGCCTGGTGGGCTCTGAGCGGGAGGTCCAAGGGCCAGGGGAAAGAGAATTCTTCCAGACGCCCCCCGAAAGGGATCGAGGATATGGAGATAGATGCCTTGAAGGACCGCGACCTGCTAGGATCGAGCAAGGAGTCCACCGCAGGACCCCAGAAGCCTGGAGAAGGAATCCTGAAGAAAGGAAGAAAGACTTCGGAAGAAGACGAGTCTGGCCGCCACGCTTTGGCTGCCACTCCTTTCGGGTTTCTGCTTCGGGGTCTTAGGGCGGAAGTTGCTCCAAGAGCGCCTGCACCACGGGAGATTGAGCTTTGTGATTTTCTAGAAGAGTCTAGTGACTTTAGGCAGGGCACGGCGCTTGATTTTAGGAAACAGTCGCATGTTGGCATGTCGCTTGATTTTAGGAAACAGTCGCATGTTGGCATGGTGCTTTGCATGTTTTGGGCATGTTTTTCCATGATTTTGCGATTGCTCAAGCGGGCTTTTACCCTTACGGTTTTTGCAGAACGACTCGGCATACGCCTCTTTTTCCTGCTATGGGAAACTATCTGGGCGGATCAAAGCAAGAATGCGAGCACCGGTGCGAGGTGTGCGGAAAGCAGGTCTGCATCAGACGCAAACCTGCTCACACCCATCATTATTGTTGGGCCTGCATTCAACATTGGTCTGGGTTGCAATGGCTACGTGCCCACGACGAAGTTCCAGATTCGAGCTATGCTGAGAGCGATGCCGATGGCGGTTGGGTCTTGCTTGATGGAAAGTAGAGAAGACAGACCCTTCAGCCACAAGAGGGTAGAAAAAGGGTTGCGAAAGCAGTTGCCTGAGCTTAGGAAGCAGCGGCGTGAGCCTAGGAAGCATCTGCGTGAGCCTAGGAAACAGCTGCGTGAACCTAGGAAACAGTGGCATGTTGGCATGCTTGGCTTGATTTTTCAATCGCTGATGTTGCCGAATGTTTGCGCTAGCACTGCGCACGTTCCATCTGCAGCCGTTTTTCTCTTTGGTGAAGAGAGGTCTCACTTTGGAGATCATAATGGACGGTGCCAGCGGGGACGAGTTTACCCCGAGTGTTGCTTTGAGCAGTCCAGCCTCTCCTGGGAAACCGCCTACTCCACCGGCTTTGGAGAGCCCCTCTTTCGAACTACCGGGGGTCGAGCCGCCGGGTGGGGGACCATCGTCGCCGGTGGCTGTCTACCCGTCGCCAGTGGTGACGGAAGCAGCGGAGAGCCCGTTGCTGGCGGATTCTGCAGATGGCCCTTCGCAGGCAGATGCGGCTGGAAGCCCTGTGGAGGAGGCTACTGCGAGGGCCGAATCCCTCGAAGCGCCTGCGCGCTGGGGTTCCTTCAGAGGGCGAGGGGCCTACGCCACCGCGGGTTGGAATCCCGGCGAACATCTTGCCGGGCTCGCTGAGCCCTCCGTTTGGTGCTCTTCAGATGGATGTGGGAACCCAACTCCTCCTGAGAGCGTTGAGGCTGGAGGCTGGCCGCAGATGGGAGCATGCGGAAACACTAGGCCTTGCCAAGGTCTCGGTCGACTCTACCGAGCCTATTCCGTTGCTCTCGCACTTGGCGGGTATTCCAGCGAACATGAACGATGCCTACGATGCCCCATCCCTGGCGTTCTGTGCTCCAGGCCACGCCTTGAGAGCACTTTGCTCTCCGACGGCGACGATGCTCGGTCCGATAGGCCTGCCCGACCTAGAGCATCCAGCTGCTTGGCTACCAGCCACTCCAGTGATTCCGGTGACAGCGGCCTATCCAGAGGAACCATTGAGGGTTTCGAGGCCGAAGATGGTGGAATCGGAAGCCCAATGTATCATTGGGCAGCAGGAATGGGAGGTTTGGTTGGGACGTTGCCTAGAGGGCAAGAGCCTAGCAGAGTACGGGCTTCATATGGAGGACGTGGGGTTCGCTGTCAGGGTTACCGAACTTCTGGAGGCTCCCCGGGCCGCTCGGGCGGCGTGGAAACGAAGGTTCCAGGAACCCGCATCCATCATGCGTGCGTGAATGGGTTTTATTTTCCGCCGAAAGTGTAGACAAAGTTTGTCGAAAAAGGAAAACAGTGTTTTCACTTGTGTGTGAGTGACACTAGACATACTTTGCCGTGCAGCTTTCGGCTTGGAGTTGGATCTGTGATCCAAAAAGTTTTTGTAGAGTAGCTTGTAGTGCTCCGCAGCAGTGGGGGTCGTCAGCGACGACTTTCCACTCCCTTTGATATAACTGTCAGTGCCAGTTATGGTTGACCAAGCAGCCCGCACGTATGCGGCTGAGTCGCCAGAGGCGCCGTACCCTAGAAGGGACGGTCGAGAAAATCAGTTGGCAGCGCCACAATGCCTGCAACGCGTGCGACAGTGTCGCTCCTGCCTCCGCTTTTTGCAGTGCAATCCAATATTTGTGCTAGAGCAGGCCATGCGTGAAGAAATGGCACAACAGGAGATAAGTTATCTCCTTTGGGCCCTTAGCTGTGCCATGCGGGTAGACCCCGCGGTCGTCAGCGACGACCACGAAGCCCTGAATCGAGCGGGGGAAGGAGAGTCCAAAGTTTGGCCTCCCTTCTACCCTTTTGCGCAGATGCAAGGGGAACAACCGGACACCTCAGGCAGTGCCTACCCGATGCACCGGTATACTATGTCGCAGCGCGACGTGCCTATGCGGCCAGCGGCCACGCCTGGCTGGCCGTATACCGGCCTTTTTGACTGGCCCCCCAGTGGGGAGGAAGATAATGTCCCCAAGCTCCAGTGGAGACTTAATTGGGTGGACGCCCTAGAGGGCCACGTTGCCCCTAAGGTTGAAGCCAGCGGCTTCCATTGGCACCCAGAGGGTAAGGGCAAAGGCAAGGGCGGTTGGGTCAAGATTCTCCCTTCGGAGAAGAAAAAGAAAAAGACCCACAAAGCTGCCAGTGGCAGTACCGACCCCACCGCCTCGTCCAGCACTGCTCTGCCGACAGCGTCGGCATCAGCCTCGGACCCTCCCTTGCCGCCGCCAGCGGCCGCCCCTGCCCAGCCCGCTGCGGCCGCAACAGGCAACCCGCCCGCGGCCGAAGCTGCCGACGTCGCCCCGCCAGCGGCGGAGCCGGCCATTGAAGTTATCGACACTGACAGTGATCAGAACTCGGGAGACTCCGAGGTTTCCTTGTGGCTAGCAGCCAGGCCGCAACCGCAGTGCCGTTTGCGCCGAACGCCAACACTGTGGTCGTGTCCAGACCGCAGCGTCGCAATCGCCAGCGAGGCTGGCAGTTTCAGCCTGGGGAGGACCCCCAAAACAACGATTGGCGTAACCTCGGGTCAGCGACCGACAACAGGTACCCCGGCCTGCGTGCGCTAGTAACGCCAGAAGGGTCTCGCCGCACCTGCACGTCACAGACGTGCACGAATGGCCCTACTGGGCAACCCCCAACTCAGAGAGATGGGAGAGATACCCGGAGAGGCGCGGCGACCTCATGTGTTGCATGCCTTGCGCGCAGCAGGGCTGCCTCTCCCAGGGCATGGCGATTTGTGGGCGGCACTGCTCAGTGGGCAGGAGCCCCCACAATCATCACGAATGCGACAACTGCTATCGCAGCAGCCGGGGTCAAGCGACCCCGAAACCGCGGCGTCAGGGGCGGCCGTCGTTAGGCACTGAGTGCAGCGGGTAGCTGCTGGCCTCTCAGCGAGTCGCCCTCCCGTCGGTGCAGTGCACCTCCTTTTGGTTCACCGCCGACAGCCCGGCAGCCTCTTCAGGGCGGGCGTTTCCGAGGTACTTGGAACCTCGCCCACAGCGGCGGGCCGACGGCATGCTTTGAATGGCGGCAAAAGATCGCCGCTAGCCTTTTTCAGTCGTGTGTCACGCGAGCCTGGTAGGCCTCCTCAGCTGAGTCAGCTTCTTAAACCGCGTCGGTTCTCAAGCAGTGCTTTCATACCGCAGCCTTTTCAGCTTAGTAAGTCGCCCCCCCGTGCCCACACAACCCCGCTTTCAGCGGAAGCCTTTGTCTGCCTTCAGCGATGGCGAACCCGACAAATGAGCAGATGCTGCAGGCGCTCAGTGCAGTGCCGGAGGCCCAGCGGGCCGCCATCTACGAAGCCGCCGTCTCCCTATCAGAGATAGGGGACGTGGTGGTGAATGCGGCAGAGGCAGCGGAACTCGCTGGTTGGACGAAGCCCGCCAGTGGCGGCACAGAAGCCAATGCAGTCGCGCTTCAGCGACTTCTGCTCGGCTACGAGCCCCCAGTGGTGCCGGCAAACACCGAGCCGCCAGCGGCGGCGCGTGGTGTTTCTTCCGACGGCCACCGCAGCGCGGTGGACAGTTTGCCTCTTTCGACGGCTGCAGCGCAAGCCTCGCGACAGCGCTCCCCGACCAGTCCCGCTGAGGACGCGGGCTCTGGTATCAAAGAAGAACCGCTTCCAGCGGAAGCTCCCTCGGCAGCGCCTGAGGATATGGACGTGGAGGAGCCCAGCGGGCGGAGGGATGAAACAGAAGACGACCGA